TTAAGAATATGATTTAGTTTAAAAGTGAATTCACTGGGGCAAATCTGGCCTATTTGGTATTTCTATTATTCTCAACTTTCTATTGATTTTATTTTTATTAGATTTTTATTAGGGATTGCATTGTGAAATGTTTTGAACCCAGAATGCAATTTGAGAAGTCAGATTTTCTAGCTGTGGAGAGAGGACAGGGGAGGCACAGAATCAAATAGAAAAAAAAAAAGAAATTATAAGGCAATTCAATAGGATGAGAAATGAGAAAGAATTTGAATAGACAACCCCTAAGGATCAGGAAAGTCCTGGAATCTAGTCACAGAGGAAGGGACCAAAAGCTGCCCACCCAATAGGGACATTGGATTCCGTGACAGTGATGTTTCCACTGTGATCTCTTGCACAGGTTGTCAGCATGTACAATGTACAATGAATGCTGTTCCACTACTTTCAGGCATCATTGAAAGAACTTGGTTTCACTCAATTACAAAACTGAGAAAAGTCCCTGAGTTATCAATAAGGAACTCAGAGAAATCATCAGCCAGCATTTATAAAAACTGCACATTTATTATTTAAGAATCAGCAGAGACTACTGAATACTGGGGAAAGCTTATTAACTCCTTAAAAGGAAGAACTAGCTGTTGCTAACAACTAAAATACCTTACCGGGCTTCCAGCAGATAGAAATTGAAAGGTATAATACTACCTTAAAGAATCCAATGTATAAATAATATTCTGAAACATAAGAAGTTACCTTCAAAAACCTTTGAGTCTTATTCTTTATAAAACTGTATGTGACTCTTTATAGAAATAACATTGTATGTATTCTAATTTGTTCTTGATATAAATCAATTTTTCTCATTCCAAAAAATAAAATCAGCAAATAAGATAAATGTATTTTGTCAATTTTCCATGATTTACTGACAACAGTAGCTTGTTAGGTAGAAATACATATATTGGCCTTTCTAAGTAATGTACAAGTATGGTACCATACAAATCCCGAATCATTTGGATTGTTATCTCTATCTATCTATCTATCTATCTATCTATCTATCTATCTATCTATCTATCTATCTATCTATCTATCTGTCTACCCACCTATCTACCTATAATATTTGATGAAGGTATATGGAGAAAATCTAGCTGACAAATAGAGAGCCAGGGCACAAAAGTGCAAATAGAAACTAAGTACATTCTTTGAGAATTTCTTCTAATCACTAAGAGAAGCTAAAATAACCTCTTTCTATTAGAGGGTTTATTAACATAAAATCTTCAGCTGTAGTGCAGTACATCACACTCTCAATTAACTACTGAACCCTTTCAAATATGTTTGCTAAAATAATGGGCAACACATACTGCTGCTGTATATTTGGGATGATTAAACTGATGGTAGCAAAAATACACAATCATCAAGAACAGAACAAATGGAAAAAAATCTAACTGTGCAAGAGATGAAAAAGTAACATTTGCACAAATAAATGATGGTAGCAAAAATACACAATCATCAAGAACAGAACAAATGGAAAAAAATCTAACTGTGCAAGAGATGAAAAAGTAACATTTGCACAAATAAAATAAAATCTCAAAAGACTTAAGTCATTATCAAAGGACAAGAATTATTAGCATAGAAAATTCCACTGGAAATGTGAAGACCGTTTTTGGAATTGATTTTAATTTCTAAATTAAAGAAATATTTTAATTTAGAAATAAAACATCTTTCTTGATGGAGGTAATTTAAATAGGGAAAAAAGCCAATAAACTAATACAAAAAATGCAAAATATAACATGCTATGGATTTTTAATTGAAATATGTTAAGGCACTACTACAAATTTTTAGGAAGAGAAAAAGACTGGTAAACAGGTTTCTTTTTGTAAAGTTTTTTGTTCTTTCTCCTAAGAGGGAATTTACTTTTATTTTTTTAAATATTAATAAAAAATTGGCATTTAATATTTTAAATCTAACAGATTAATTATTGGAATATGGCTGTCATCATCTTTCATCTGTAAAGAAAATTATTCTTTATAAGTGTGTATCAAATTAATTTGGTATTGCTTCTCACGACGCTTTTCAAATACTGAGTACACTGACCAAGACAAAGCCTGATTGCTTCTTCAAACATTTTAAAATTATTTCTGAAACCATTCATTATGTGAAGAGCATAAAGCACTGGTTAAGAGGGCAGGCTCTGAACACTTGTTATTTTACTTGTAATGCTGACTCTACTACTTGTAGCTACAGAACATTGAGAAAGTTTCTTAACGTCAATTAAGTGTGGGTGTAACAGTACTTACCAATATATAAATGCAATAAAAACTAAATAAGATATAAGTTTTAGGTACTGAATAATTCACTCAATGCCTATGAGCTATTTGGATGTTCTCCCTGAAGAACCTGTTGTACAGGTTAATAAATTTCCTATAAGTTCATTTTCTTATACGTAAGGTAAAAATGATAACTATTTTAGAGTTTTCAGGTTAAATAAGCTAATATTGAAATGCAGCTAGCACAGTTTATAATAAGCAGCAGGAACTCAATAAGTGCTAGTCTTCTCTGAATCTAGATAGGTAGGCAGATAGATATAAACATATACAGCAGAAAGAAGGAAGGAAGGAAGGGAAGGAGGGAGGAAGGAAGGAGGGAAAAGAGGAAGTAAAAGCAAGCAAGCTGTAAATGATGGAGAGAGAAAGATGGAAGGTAGATAAATAAGCAGGTAGATGACAGACAGAGGTAAATGAGATAGGTGAGAGAAGAGAGAAAGAGATCTCCCAGCTGTATGTGGTCACATACAGTTTTCTTAAAGGTAGACTCAGCTCCAAGTTGAATTTATTTTTGATGTTCTAGAAGAATTTAGCTTTCATTACATATTGAAAATATTTAATAGATATTTATAAAATAAATGAATTAATGAACACAGTCAATCAATGAAATTATGTTAGCTAATCTTTAAAAATCACATTTTAAAGTAGACATCAGTCTCTCTCCTATACAATTCATAGATTACCTAAGTGTGACTTTCAGTTTCATAATAACTTTCCTGTATTTATTAATAAGGATGTGTGACAACAACCTGCTCTACAGGAGATATTTCTATTGGTGTTCTCACTTTTAGACTAGCAATCATTTTATGTGTAATGTTAACTGAAATACATGCCAAATATACGTTCTTTTAAGAACAGTAGCCACCTTTCTAAGATACTAGTTTTTGATATCAAAGTTGGAAAAAAAAACCTTTTTAGTATAAATTACATTTTCAAACATAAATGAAACCACTTCCTTTTTCTAGAGGGATTTTTCTTCATTCCCATTAAATATATTGATTAGTTAGTGGATGAAAATGAATTAAAGAGTTAATATGAACAGCATATTAATTGCCTTTGATTAACAAAGTTTCTCAAAGAGATATGACAAGAAATATTTTGTCTTTACTTACTCCATGCAGCTTTACAAATAGCAGCCACTGAATCATCTATCAGTCACTTTATTACAGACATAGATGAGTCTATGTTAGACTATGTATTCACACATCAAGTTCCAATAACCTATTATTTTACAACGTGTCTCTAAGATTCATACAGTATTACATAGTCAAAACTAATCAAGACCATTTAAGTTACTTCAATGAAACATTCAAATTTGTAAGAACTGTGAATATTAATAAGTATTCAAATAGCTTTTGTTAAAAATAATTTAAAAAGCAACATTGCATTGTTACACAAAAAGTTACTATGGTATATCTGGCACATATTACTGGAAGGCTTTTTGGGAGGCCAATCTTACACAAATCCAGCATAATTATATTCAGTGCAGAAATATTAATAGGTATAGTGTACTGAATATATGTACTTCTGTATGGAATATATGTATGTTTGTGTGTTAATATGTTTGTATAGAAATTTCAGTGTGATTAGTGAAATTCTCATATTAGAATTACATCTGTTGATAGGTATGTAATAGGACAGACTGCACTATAGGCAAAAACTTAATTTCTATGAATCACCAATCAGTAAATGACTTAGAAAAAAAATAACTAGTTTAAGAGTAGTTTCCCATGGAAAATTGAAATAATATTAAAAATAGTTACATACTATTTACATTTTAAATGTAGTTTCTCATGTAAAAATTGAATATTAAAAGTAGTTATTTACTGTTTATATTTTGAAAACTAATATTAACTAATACAACATTCATTTTAATTCTGAGATCAATTTATACAACTGCTTGTTTTTTATAATCAGACATAAAAAACACATTCACAGTGTCTAAGTCTTATACAAGAGTAGCCCAAATCTCTTTAGATGAATCATTACCAAATATTCCATTATGTCTGAAATAATAAAAACATCACAGCTAATAAAAAGGCATATCAAATAAATTTAAGATAGACTTTTAGAAAAGATACATGTATTTTATACGAAGCATTTCTTTTTTCTATCAGGGTAAACAAGTTCATGCTTACTTGAGATTCATGAAAACTTAAATGTAAACCAGAGGAAGGAGCCAAAACTCTGGCTTAGCTATTATTTGACTCTTGAAAAACTACTTGGAAGCTAAAATTCTAACTAAATATAAACCAGTATTGCTACAAACTAATACAGTTCCAACCAAATTTTCATTTAATGTAAAAATGTTAAATTTACTAACATTAATACTGCAAATTAGGCAATTATAATTAGCCTATCTATCTAATATGTGCCATATTTTCCTTGTTAATACAATGCAAAATAGGAAAGGTTGGGAAATGTCTATAAAGGTAAGATCAATCTAGTAACTTTGGTCAAGTTCTCAGTTTAAGAAGTTTACAGACTAATGACTATCCATGGCCTTCCTTTTTCTGTGGCTATCAAGATACTGAACAGTTGCTTTTTGTTGGGGACAACTTCAGGATTTGTTGTTTCTTTTGATAAATTATCAATGGTCCATGCCAACTGTGATAAACTGCACCTCTAGTACTAATAGGTTTGTAACGACCGCTGAAGCTTTACACTGTGTAAGCATTGGAAGGCTTCACTCACCTTGTTCCAGTGGTTGGCTTTTAGTTGAAGTCGTTTTCATCTTGAGTGCCTCCCTAACAGACATGTCACAGCAGGAGCCTTTGTTAGTGTCTTGGTCACTGTCAGCCTGATCACTGTCCCCGTGCCCACTGTCTCTCAGGCTGGCTCTTTCTGGGTCCTTAAACGTGGAGCTACTGAAATACATATAAAGAAAAAGAAGAGAAAGTGTTGTCTCTACAAGTTTGAATCTGAAGTGTAGTCTCTTGCAAAGCAATTTTGACACGAATGCAAATGGGGAAGCTGAGAAAGTTACTTAACAGGCCTTACCTTTGAACAAACTGCTGCCTGCTGCCCATGTAATTGGGCTCTGCGGGAAAATTGTCTGTCTGTGAAAGAGAAGGAAAAAAATACGTATAGTTGTACACTGGACAAATCTCCTGCAGAGCAACAAGATTTCCTAGTGGAAAAATGATTAATAATTCAAAAATTCCCTTAATCTTCAGATTTGTACATTTTAATTAAATTGGAAATTGCTGACATGTAATTATGTACTCAGAACAATTAAATGATTCCGGTCCACAAATTACCTGTTAAAGTAAACAATGAGCCTGTCATAACTGGCATTCTCAGTTAGTACCAGGATGGATGACACTGTGTTGTTTCATTACTTAGATATTAAGATTGAATATTTGTGGGAGGAGTGGAAAAATGACCTAATTTCTTCATATTAAAAGTGTGAATTATTTAATATTACTCATTTTTAAACATAATTACATCATCTGCTGGGATTCTATGCCCTCCTTGACATAGTATCATTTAAAGTCATCCACTCCTCAATTAAGAGACACAGGGCCTTTCCTTCAAGTTTTTCCAATAATAAATAAAAAGCTTGACACATACAATTCATTCTCATCTACATCCCTACAATGGAAATTGAACTCAAACAATGCAATGGAAAGGGGTGTTACTTCCTGGTTATTAAACACAAAGTAAAATAAAAATAAAAAATAAGTGTTACTTAAGACATTGAGAGTAAAGACATTGAAAAACCAGGCTTGTTTTTGTGGTTGTTTTTACTGCTTCCAAACTGACGTGGAAGTCTGCCAAGAAGAACTGAATTCTCCTTGTATCATGGAACAGAGTCTTTTGGGAGAAAGAGACTAGATCTTTCATAGCTGTCCCTGTACTGTACATTCATACACGTTACTTCTGCTCGCAGCTGACTCAGCAACAAAGACACTCCTGTTTTCAGCATCACTTTATATCACACCATGTGCTCTGCAGCAGCGATGGGCTCATACAAGACCATCCAGCATGCAAGTATCCATGACACAGAAGCATGCAATTCATGAAGCAGAGGGCCCAAGGTAAGGCTTAATGTAGTGCAATATGTGCTTTCCTTATAAATAAGGCTAATTTAAACTAACAGTACTCTTTTTTTCTTCCCATGTACTAATGTCAATTATTTGGCTATTTGAACTATTACTGGAAAAAGAAATACATAGAATACTAAGAACTTAAAGTACTATCCAAATTTTACTGTCTGGTAGAAACTGGGGGAAAACCCCCACAAACTTCTTCATCTATAATTGTTTTTTGGTGTTCAAATCAACTTCATCAAAATAAATGCAAAAATAAAGGTACACAAGGTAGATTCTTTTCTCCAAACTCACTTTAACAGCAGTTGGTATGAGACATTTTTAATTAGCATGTTTTACTAGTTTCTAGGTTCTGTGAAGCTCCTTAGTTCTTGTTTCCATAATGACAAACTATCAATGTTTAAGGATACTATGATCTTCCAGTAAAAATAATAATGCAAACCAACACGAGAGGCAAAAATGTTTGCAAAGGAATTTTGCCAACTTTTAAATCTATGATTACTTAGAAACTCCATGTTATAACTTAATAAGACCCAGTCCATCTTTTGAATTTGGACAAAACATGTATCCAAACCATTATTGCTGTCAGTTAAAAGCTAAGTATGAGTATCTTAGAACACTTCAAAAAAAAAAAAAAACAACTGAATCCTGGTATTCAAGGGAGAATAAAATGTAAAATGAAAGTGGAAACTCTTGTTAGAAAATACAAGTGCTATTATAAGTAATCTTGTGATTTGAATGGCTTTAATTAGCCAGAGCCTCACAGGATGTGATCCCTATTCAGTTAGACACGGGAGACAAATTGGGGAAATGTTTCTTCCTTTATTCTAATAGGGTCCGTACCTAAAAATGTTTGCATGTATTAAAGTTCTAAGCACTCCTAATAAAGTAAGAGACTTACACTAGGAAATAAAATAGATTTTCCATTGAGTGAAGAGATGTTTTTGAATTATGTGTGTGTGTGTATCAGTGTTGGTAAACACTGGGCAATGGTATTGCTACCAAATACTGTTCTGATGAAAATAGGAAAACAAGTACAAGTTAGAAGAGAAGGGATGTTGGGAAGGAAATAAAGAGGAGAAAAATAAAAGCAGGGAGACAGGCAAGAGAAAAATAAAAATGTAAAAAAAGAAAAATGTTTATTATTGTAGAATTTCACAAAGTAACTTAGTAGCAGAGTATCAGAAGTTCACTAATGATGTCAGCATTCATCCATTAAAATTGGTAGGAATGTGAAAATTCTGTGTGTTTATAATTACCATAGTGAAATAGCCATTTGGCCTTTAACAAATAACTAATTCACTACAAAAACCACACTGGTTTTAATATAGAAAATAACATTTTCATTATCCACGCTCCAAGGGTGTCTGAAAACTCATTTAAAATAATCTGAATATAAAATAACTGTATTTGCACAGAAAAATTAAAAATAGACCCCCAAAACTGCCATATTATGACAGTATCATTTAATTTAGAAGTAAGGGGCTTTAAGATGTTTTCCAACATTGTACTCTAAAAACTGAGTTCTACCTTGTACATTTGTACTTCTTAACTTTTAAGTCTAGGAAGAAAGTAAAATTTGAGGTCTGACACTTGTAGCTTTTCAGGTCTCAGCAGAGTAATTAAATATGAATATTTACAACTTTGGAAAACTTTATCCTCTCCCATACAAACCAATCACTAGAATATTTCGCCTTCAAGCACAACCCAAAAGCAGTGACTTTTAACTATTAGTTTTAAAACGTGTAATTCATTATAAAAAATATGTACCCAGAATTGGTGGGTAGTTAGAGAAAAATTCTAAAGTAGACACTTTAAAAACTTCAGGACATAATGATCTTTATAATCTGTCTCTTTCAGAAGAAAAAGACAAAAGTTTTGGTGTTTTCTAAAGTTATTCTTTGCTTATAACAAAATATATCTGAACTGACTTATAAAATTGAGTATGCCCTAGTTTGATTTATTTCCTGTTACTTTGATGAAGATAAGAATTTATATATTCTTTACTTCCCTTTGTACAGACAACACAAAATTAGACAAGTAATCAAGTGATCAAAGTAGATAAAGCCTGCATACCTATAAATTGTTTCTCTGATTATACGCCATTATGCATTTCTCTACTAGTGTTCAGAAAATTGTAGTAAATTTATAAATGATACTCAAAATCATAATTTTTATCAGTAATAGTTAATAATAAACTATTGCTATGATACCATCTTCTACAACTTGCTCATCCTACTAGAACTCTGAAAACACAAACCGTGATTTGAAAAACAAGTGTCTCTGAGAAAAAAGAAGCTGAGACGTATATGCTGAAATTGAGAAATCTATTTGTGGAAACAGATTAATTTGATATTATCATTTACATGTACCTAAAGAAGTTGAATTCAAAATGGACAGTAAAATGAGTAAAAATATATGTTTTTTTACTTTTAAAGTAGTAAAAATAGAAAATTTAAAAACAGCAAGCATTTGACAAAATTCAGCACTGATTAATCATGAAATTCTCAGCAAAATAGGAATAGAAGGAAATTTTCTCAACTGTGTAAAGAGCATCTACCAAAAAAAAAAAAAAGGTAACGTCATACTTACTGGGAAAAGACTGAAAGTTTTCACCCTAGCTTTCACTACCTCTATTCTCCATTGAACTAAAAGTACTAATAAGTCCAATAAGTCAAAAAATTTATATAAAGGACATACAAATTGGAAAGGAAGGGAAAAATCTTTCATAATGTTATTGCATTCATAGATAATATTATTGTTTAGGCAAAAAAGAAGGAATCAAAACAAAAATAAAACTTCTTAGAACTAATAAATAAGTTAAACACGCTTGCCCCATTCAAGTTAATCATACAAAAATCAATCATATTTCTATATCCTAACAATGAACTATTAGAAAACAAAATTTCAAAAGCAATGTAACTGTAATAGTTCCCTATAAGTCAACTACTTAGCAAATAACTTTTTTAACATTTAGTCTGTGTGAATAAATATTACAAAAACTGATGAAGTAAATTAAGATTTAAGTAAATGGAGAGATACATTGTGCTTATGAACTGAAACACACAACATGGTAAAATGTCAATGCTTCTTAAAAAGTCTATACATGTAACATAGTAACATTCATATTCACAGAATGATTTTCTGTGGTTATAGACATGAGTACCCTAAAATTTGTAACAAAAGGTAAAGGAACTACAACAACCAAAATAATTTTGAAGAAAAATGAAGTTGAAAGAATCACACTACCTTATTTTTTAAGAGTTCTAAAGCTACACTATCAAGGCAGTGTAGTATTGTCGATGCAAAAGACACATAGATCAATGGGACAGAAGAAACTGTCCATAAGCAGCCTAGAGCAATACAACCAACTGATTTTTAACAAAATTGAAAAATGCAATTCAACAGATAATTCAATAGAAATGAACCTGGACCTACACCTCACACATTATTAAAGAAAAAAATAAACAATACTCAAAGTGGATCACAGATCTAAATATGAATGTAAAACTAAAAAACTTTAGAAGAAAACCTAGCAGAAAACCTTTGTGACCTCATATTAGGCAGAGTTCTTAGACATGATACCAAAAGTATGAACCGTAGAAAAAAGAGATGTAAATTGATCCAGTAATTTGTCATTTACCTTAAAGGAATGTAAACTACACTCACACAAAAACTTGTATATGACTGTTAGCTGGAGCTGTCTTTGACAAAATTGGAATCAGCTCAGGTATATTGCAACAGGGGAAAAGATAAACAGATTGTAGTAAATACATATAATGGAAAACTAGTTAAAAAAGAAAAAACAATTGATGCAAAAACTTGGTTGAATCTCAAAAGCACTTTGCTGAGTGGAAAAAAAAATTGTACACAGTATGACTCCATTTATAAGATTTCTCAAAAAACTAAAAATGATTATGACAGAGAACACATCAGAGGATGCCAGGGGTTAAAAACTGACTATAGAGATATAGCATGAGGATGCTTTTTTTAGGGTGACAGGACTG